AAAATGACTGAAAGAATTGGTGATGGTGAAGTGGAACCAAATATAGATATTAAAGCAGAACAGGAGAAAGACCAAGATTTGATGTCAATAATTGATTTTGTGCAAACAAGTGTTTTGTGCCCTGCTTGGGAGAAGGTGTCTATCTTAAGCACTGTGACGAAGAACTATTGGGCACAACGGGACTAGTTGAAGCTTGAAGATGGTATTCTTGTCTGGAGATGGGAAAGTGACGACCTGGTAAACAGTTATACCGAGAAAGTTACGGGAAGTTGTGCCGGGTCAATCCTACAATAGTTTAACAGGAAGACATCTGGGAGTTAGGGAGACATCGAGACATTTACATGTTGTGCTAAAAGGGGACCAAAGCATAAGGGACATGCTCCAATGAAGTTATATCAAGTTGGCACACCAATGGAAAGAGTAGCCATTGATATTGCTGATCAGTTGCCTCAAACTCGTGCTGGAAACAAGTACCTTTGTGTGGTGATGGATTATTTCACCAAGTGGCCTAACGCATACGCAATACCAAATCAGGAAGCTATGACTGTAGTTTCGGCTATTAGTGATTTCTTCTTCAGGTTTGGTATGCCATACGAACTGCATTCTGATCAAGGCCGTAACTTTGAATCAGCTGTGTTCCATGAATGCTGCAAGTTGTTTGGCATATGAAAGACTAGGACAATGCCACTTTTCCCACAGTCCGATGGCATAGTAGAAAAGTACAATTGGACACTGGGACAGAATTGGCAAAGTTTTGTAATAGCTGCCAAGATGACTGGGATGCCTTACTCCCTCCACTGTTGATGGCCTATAGAACAGCAGAGCATGAAGCCACTGGATACACTCCAGCAAAGCTGGTGTTTGGTCGGAAACTTCGGCTGCCAGTGGATCTGATAATAGGATGCCAACCTTACAAATAGTTGCCTGAAAAAGTGCTAGAGTTTGTGAAAATGTTATCTGAAAGGATGGATGATATTCACCATGAAGTGCATTCAAACTTAAAAACGTCTGCTGATTCCACGAAGCTATGTTATGATAAGAAATCTACTGAAGACAACTTTGTACCAGGAGACAAGGTGTGATTGTATAATCCCAGGAAGATCAAAGGGAAGTCTCCTAAGTTGTCTCCATGGGAAGGCCCATATGACATAGTGGATCATCTCTCAGATGTGACTTTCCGAATAAAATGTGGTCGATGAGGTAAGCCAAAGGTGGTGCATGCCAACAGGCTTTGGCGTTATCATGGTCCAGGACATTTCAGTTGGAATTAAGTGAACAACAGAACAAATGACGCTGCTGAAGATGTTTCACCTGAAAAAGCCACTTTTGAAGAAGAAACTCTACCCGGTTTTGATAGGGAAAACAGTGAAGCCGTTAATGAAGTTACTACCGTTGATGTGACTACTACTGATAATGGGACATTTCCTGATAGAGCAGATGAACCCCACGTGAAGCAGAAGCCAATAAGACGGAGACCAGTACGAAACAAGAAACGTCCTGTAAAATTAGGAGACTTTGTTGTATTTTAATTTTGTGTTTGTAAATTCTGTAC